ACCGGCCTAGGGCGAGAGACAGAAACGAGGTAGCGAGGTTGAAGCCACTTCTACGGGACTCAGAGTAAGACGCTAAAATAAACCCGGATGGAGCCAAACCGATGAGACAACAGGACGAAGACAAAGTCATACTAACTGTAAAACGGATGTGTGGTGATCACACTGAGGCTGGTGCCGAGGACTGAGTCTTTTCTCAGTGGACCGACACGGTCAAAACCTTTATAAAGAATGTTTATTAGTCGCATGTAAATATATGTACAGGAGTATTTACGAGCTCACTGCAGAGCGATCATTACCCCAAACCAATGTATGAGACCAATGTATGACACCAATGTATGACACCAATGTATGACACCAATGCATGACACCAATGTATGACACCAATGTATGACACCAATGTATGAGACCAATGTATGACACCAATGTATGCTGTATGCTGTATGCTGCCTGTCTCTGTGCCACAGAGACACTGTGATCTTGAGTGTGGTTTCAAAAGGTCTTGTTTTTAAACTGTATTTTTCTTTTTTTAAGGGGGGGGGCTTCGGTCAGCGGAGAAACACAGACACTAATAATCTGACAATCAACAACAAGCCCTCGCTGAAAAGGGGGGGGGGGGGGTTCACAATAGGCTATTGTGGCCGGCTGGTTCCCAATGAGCCGGGGACATGAGAGCGGGGTCCCGGTGCCAGAGGAGGTCTTCAGAGGACAGCTCGTTACCGGCGACCCCGGTACGTCCCACGCGTCCCCCGCGCTGCTTCACGGCCGCGGCAGGTTGCTCTCCTCCGACCGCAGACATCCTCTCCGTGACAGGACCGTGAACTGTGTGACATCCTCTCGATAGCCACACACACACACACACACACACACACACACACACACACACACACACACACACACACACACTGAGAACACGCTTTCTCCGTGCAGGCGGGATGACGAGCTGCGGTCCGCTGCTGTTTCGGGTCCGAAGAGTGCGTGTGTGCGCGCGTGCGCGTAGCTTCGGTTAGTTGTTGCTTGAGTGTGTGTGTGTGCGTGCGTGCGTGCGTGCGTGCGTGCGCCGGGCGGCTCGGCATCATTTTATTTGTTTCGTGATTTTATCCCTAACGAAAGATGATGAATAGCTGTGTGTGGTGGATCATCGGTGGATCCTCCGTTCAATCACTTGATTTTTGAGGATATTAAGTCTTGATTTTTGGTTTTCAATGAATCTGAGCCGCACATAATGATCATTTAAGGCGTCACCTTAAAAATACTATATGTTTTGTCACATAATGTCTCTCACATAGGATGAAAATCAAATACTTTTTGTTTAATGGATCTAAGCTTAAAATAATTCTGTCCTATTAACCATACATATATATTCTTTGTGATTAAAAAGCTACTACTTGTTATGATAATATTCATACATAACAATATGAATTAGAAATTCCTCAGGGTTAGTATTTAGATATTTCTTATTATTTATTTCCATTCCTTTATAATTGTTCTATTTTTCATCAGCTTCATAGATATTCATATACATGGGATTGGATTGATTTTTGAATATACAAATGAACTATATACAAAACATTAAAATAGGATCAAGGCCAATATTAATTTAATTTTTATTGAATTCAAAATGCTTTCCCATTGATATATAAAACAGGGATCTGCCATAACATAATCTGCGACTGAACAACAATAATAAGGAAAATGTTCAAGTTGTGTATCAGAGATCTATCGGGACGTCACTGTGCTCAGGGGTCCTAGCGGGTAATTAGTGAGACGTCCCAGTCCGGCGCAGCGAGGAGGTTAAATAGGATTATCTGCTGCAAATGACACAAAAAGCAGCTGTGCTGATTTCCGTCGACTCGTTTCAGGGAAACGGATCAGTGTTTTTTTAATTCAATAACTGCAGTGAAAACTGCCATTTGCTGATTTAATGATGAGTGATTTATTTAAATTAGTATTCATATTAATGGTGCCAATTGGAAGCAGTTTATGTCATTCAGGCTCACTTGCATTTAAATCATTAAGAAAATAATTTTGCATGCTTTTAAATGTCACAAAAAATAATAATTCATTCTATAATAAATCTGCCATTTAAATTTTGAGTCATAATACAATTGTAGATTCTTTCCAAAATGTGCTTCTGAAAAAAATCTATATATAAAAAAAGAAAAAATATATATAAATGCGTGTTTTATTGCACCCAAGTGACCCAAATTTAAAGTCGAATAAATTCTCTGATGTATAAGTATTTTAAAAATGTCTGCCTCGTTTTTCTGCATTCCATCAGTCTGTTTTCGTTGTTTGTATTTTATAATCCGTCTGTTCAGGTTATACCGACACGTCTTCATTTTTACAGTTAATCCCTGTATGCTCTCCTGCCTGTACAATTAAATTAAAATGAAACACATAAATAATCCCAGTTGAATCGCTGCCAGATTATGTTGCACCCGGATCTTCAGGCTTATGGTAAAATGGATGTGAAACGGGCCGGCGAGCCGTCTGCAGCTCAGCTACATTAAACACTCTCCAGTGTAATCAGATATTATTAATATTAACATTTAATGTGTGAAGTCAGAGAGCCAAGGAGACACACCTAGAAAACAGTCAGGGACACCACCATAAACAATAATTATCAACCTGCGTTCCTCAGCATAACAGATGACTAGTCCCCCCTGGAATTCTAATTCATTTAAACATTTAAAAGCGTTGGAATTGGCATATGATGTATGTGGAACTCCTCTGAGACAAAATTGGCTTTTTATTTGAAATCCACCTTAAAACCTGATGACTAAATGTAAAATAATTAGAAGGTTTAAAGGTAATAAACAAGGAAAAGTAACTAATCTGAGAATAATGAACCTTGGTGTGTGTGTGTGTGTGTGTTTGTGTGTATGTGTGTGTTTGTGGGTGTGCATGTGTATTGCATTTGTTCACCACAGGGGTTAATGGGATTTCTGCACCACTACAAGTGATGGCCCCATAATCCTCTCTCCATATTTGTTTTGGTGGGGGGGGGCTGTGTATGTCTCCCTTCGGTCCGGTACTGAAGCCCTTCACCGTGTTTGAGGTTTGGTTCGTTAGTCGCTACACGGACACGGAGCATCAGTCGCTGCAGGAAAACCTAAAGGGGAACATTAACTTCTAAGTGTAAGGTGGCGACCTAGAAGTATAAACAAGGGCTTTATTCCTGCTCCAAACTGTCCATCCGCCACGTGACGAATAGTTCTCTGTTAAAAGCTGTTATACTCTGAAAACACCCCGAGAGGCAAAGGGGATCACGACCAGCGGGCAACACATCAGTGGTCAGAAGTCCTTTTTAAAAGAAGAATGACTCTGCACTGAACCAGGAGCAGTAAGTGTCCCAGTCCCACTTTGTCCTGTTTTTTATTTGTTTGTTAAGATGTCGTATCTCTTATGCCCTTATGCTAAGCTAAGATAATCATCTTCTGCTACCAAAACACCGGTGAAAGAATTTGGACTATTCTGTTCTTCTCTCCTTAAAGATAAAAAGGTGTAAACTTTAGCCGCGATCAGTTTTAATTCAATTTAAAATAGTTTTAGAACTTGATTTTCACATTTTCATGCTGCTGTCTTTCTCCTTAACAGATAACTGTGGATTTATTCCGTTCTTTTCCGCCTGGTTTGCTGGAACTGTTCCTCGTCGTTTTGTTCTCCACGGGCAAAACCAAATATCTATTATGAAGTCTATTAAGAAGACTTTCTAAAACAATAAAACCATGTAGGAGCATGCAGACGTGTAGAGCTGTGCAACCAATAGCGTTTTCACAAGATTCCAAAGGATCTTCTCATCTGGAAGACGACAAAAATGTCAAACTGTCCTTTAGAATGAAGCGACCCGACCTTGGAGGTATTCATAGTCGGATCAGCTGATGGAAGTGAGTCGTGTTTTCGCACTCATTTTTACACACAGACAACACAGGGACGTTATGTGTGTGTGTGTGTGTGTGTGTGTGTGTGTGTGTGTGTGTGGTTCAGAGGGAGTGTCATGTTGTGGAGAAGATGTTTCCAATTTTAGAGAGGGCCACGAGCTCTAAGATGATTAGAGAGGAGGAAATTGGGGGATTAGAATTGTCTGCTTGAACTTCCTGAGTCCATGGCGTGCTCTCGTCGCCCCCCCTTTGTCTCTCTCTACCTCCCCCTCTGTGTGTCCCTGTCGTCCTGGCAGTCTCTCGTCCTCCCACTGCCCTGACATGCAAACGTGTGAGGACACATTGAGTCCTGGAGCTCCCCTGTTGTGTCACAGGCTGTCTTCGACCAGCGGACATGACTCACACTCACCTTTTACCTTTCCTTCCCTTCTTTCCTACCTCCTTGTTCTTCATGGTTCCTCTCAACCTCTTAATTTTTTTTCTTTTCTTTTTATCCGTTCCTCAATCTCTACCGTTCTTTTCTTCCT